GGCATACAGGCAGGTACATTCGTAAAATGAAAGTGAAATTGAATTCATACAGTTCAGCGTTGCTTTTTGTATGAGAGATAAATAACTAAAATTAACAATAAACAATACAATAACTATGAACTAACTTGCCACCAAAATGATATTGCTTGGCATTAGGTCAGATCATGTCAGCATTGGAGCCCTCTCGAATTCAAGAGAAAAAAACTAAATGAAATTTAATGTGACAATTTTGTAGTGAGCTAACCCTCTGTTTAATAAACTAGGACTGCGTTGAGTGCAGACCACACACCACAAGTGACGACGGCCTTTAAGTGAATCTGGTAACTAGTGATTCATAGTGATAGCTGATAGCTGGTTAATGAGGGTTGTTCGACTGATAACATATACAATTGGCCAAAGAGGCTACATTCAGTGAAAACATTGAACTATTTGAGACAGGTCGTCTCGTCACTTGTAATGTATGGTCTGCACTCGAGTCGCATTTTTCTGGTTTTTTGTAAACGAAGTAATCTCTCACAACACAAAACAAGGTTTCACGCACAGAAAGCTTAATCACTTCTATCGACAGTGTATGGAAAGCTAAGGCTGCTTTAGCAGAGTGCCCTAATACAAGATCTTTACGTCTCCAACGTTAGATTATTGATTAAAAGGAACGCTTTGTGAAATGTTTGCTCACTTTTGAGCTTTTTTCTTCAGTCGATGTTCGAATTGTAACGATTTGCCCTTCTATGAGTTAAAAGCGCTCCTAGAGAGTGTATGATAAAATCAATAATATAAATAAATAAATATAATAAATAATCATGCCCTATGAATTGAGAAATCAAAGATATTGTTATTTCACAGGCAATAAATGTGGACCAAATGGGATCATTGGTTTTAGATTAAATTGGGAAGCGTAAAGGGAGCTTTTGTACACATGCAAAATACGAATGGAGGTTAGATATGTGGCGCATTTGAAACCAAGGTTCATCGGACTTTGCGGTTGGACCTCAGCGTTCCGTCGTTGCTGTGTTAGACCTGCAATGTCATCATCGCTTTCGAAGACGAGCATTCATTCTGGCTCATGCGAGCCAAAACAAACTCACGTAGCGGGAACCCGCAAGAGGTGCGGGTTCACTCCCGCCTCGGGCGAAAGTTTTGCTCGAGAAGACCGTTATTCTGTTGACTAGAGAGAGTTCCCAGCATCTAGGCTAAAATTGCTACATGAGGAATATGTGGCTGATGCTGGCTCTTTTGAAACTGACAAAGAGAAATAGTACAGGGAATGACTGTGACTCCTCCTAGTCCAACGCTCCGTCTTGCTACTGTGATGGAATATCCGGAATCCTTCAGGATGACACGAATCACGTCTTCAGCTCCTGTTTATTCAAACGCGGAATAAATTATCGTCTCACACTTCAAAAACCAGGTCATTTCCGTGCTTGTACAATGCGCTAGCTAAGCGTTCGCTCTGCCTCTACTGACTTGTTTAATGAATCCATCTTTGATCAATTACCTCCATCCTCTTTTATCGATGGCAAGTATTTACTTTTAGCAGTGAATGACAGGCAGCGGTGGAATTTACTGGAGTTGTGGAATGCGTACCCACTACTAATCTTCAAAAACACGAAGGAGCTGACAAGCCGACTTTGAATCTAATCTACTTTTCGTGGGTTGAAGAAACTAAAAACCTGACCCGTTATGGAGAAAACCCACCAATTGTTTTTTCATCGTGCCTTTTTTTTCGATAATTAGGGTGGTATGCCACGGTACCATTAAGTACGGTAATCCTTATGGGTGGCGGTCGTGAGCCCATCCTAAATAGGTATTTGAACACATGGGAAAGATCTTACAATGTGAAACAACAAATAAAACCATACATAAAGAGGCTTCTGCAATACGGTAAATAAGATTAAGAGCCGAACTGAGGAGGCAAGGATGTCAGATATTAATCTAACTAAGGCTTTTTTGAAATAATTGAATCCATCAGTTAAAATACCTTAGCTCTGCGGATTATCAAACCCTGAGTATGTCCTGTTCAGGATGTTCTGTCTTACCCCACCAACGTGAGTTTTTTGGAGAGCCCTCTAGACTAACAATAACCCTCTCTGAAGGCGAGCAGACTATTCTGAGCTTGAGCCCAGAAGTGACCCATAGAAATCCTTGAAAAGAGTTTTTTTGATCGAAAGTTTTCCTCAAATAACGAGAAATGCCAATAATAGTTTAGGAGGGATTCATCGAAAGTCGTACTTTGTAATTCACACATTTCTGGGAGCCTTATCTTCCCGGATTATTGGCAGGAAAACGTCGCGCAATCCAAGAAGTATCATCGAATTCTGTTATTTCACCTGCTTTCACCGAACCAGTCAGTAACGAAAGCTGAACAAAAACGTGAGCTATTGGCTACAGCTCAGCTATCATCAATCGATGCTGCAACTCGTCGAATCGATCCGACCGGTTTTTTGATGCTCACCACGTCTCTATATGTAGCGGCCTGGGACGTGTGATGGCGTGGTGGTGAGGTTCCTGTGGGAGCAGCAACGGTCTTGGTGTTTGTAGAAAGGCGGGCATCGTTCGAGTCTTCCCGCGTGAATTCTGAGTACGTGTCGCTGGGAGGCGGACCGCCGAACGGTCCGGGAGAGAGTGTGTCGCGGTTGAATCAGAGAACACCCCCGCACGCCGGTCACTGGACTCACGACAACGCGGCGCGCCAGCGAACGCGCCAAAGCGATAAAAGCCGCAGCGCTCTGAACCAGGCATAACGATGACCGCGGTGGTGAAACGCACGATTCTGTGCTCACCGCCATCTCGCTCTTCCGCGGGACTATGATACAAGTGTGTCGTGACCCTCAACCGCTGCCGATGGGTCCACGTTGTCAGCCAGAGGTATGGATTTCAGGTTTTCATTTCGCTCTTTTCCTCCTACCTTTTGCAGGAGAAATTCCCCCTCTCTAAGCGAGAAGCTCCCCCGACCAATTTTTGATCAACCAGAAATCGAATTCCGGAAGGCGGGAGTTAGCGTGAGTAGTGAACCGATCTATTCTAAGGGCTGTATTGGCCAAGATCTCAGCGGCACCTGAAAAGCTCAGACAAGCCCTCGTCACGTTCAATCCATGCCGAGACGCCATAGAGACGCCGCGAGAGTTCGTATCTATTGGCTCGGAACAAATCCACTTTCTGTAACGATAACGCCGCGACAAAAATCACTGATTTTTTTCTTGATTCAAGCCCGATCTCTTAAGGGTCCTGAGACCGCCTAAGAAGCTGGACCGGTGGCTACGTGACGCGCTATCTTCTTGTATAATGTCTTCGAGAAGTGTGGCAGCTTTGGTCACCCCGTTTCTACACTAATTGTTTAACGAAACCACCTATTCGAAACGAACAAACTGAATCTCGTGTGATTTTCAAGCCGGTACCGCGGCAGTCGTTTCAGAAAATAACACATTTTATTCCCTCATTCTATAACCCGCTAATCGTTCGTTCGTATTCTGGAAGAAGTGAGACGACGATCATTTCATCGTCGTCGTTTCTTTCATGATTTCGGAATCTCACTAACTTTCCCTTGGTCAATCGACGTTGTTTTTCTCGTGCTTAAAAAGCTTTACTATGAGAAATTCCAGAAGCTACATGAATTCAATGCTTTCACTAAATTCAAGCTTCAAAAATCATTCAATGTAAAAGGCCTGACCTTTGCAAAGTAAATCCCTTATAATTTCGAGATTTCCTAACGGCCAGGAGAAGAGAGATTGAGCTTCCAGTGCCAAACGGCCAACGGCCTCATCCGAGACTCGAACCTTAACTTCATGCTTTTCTGGTCGGTGGGCTAACCACTGAAGAACCAAGGCTACGTTTCAACTGACTCTGCTTTTGATAGTATATTTACAACAGCTTATTGACTCTGTCTAATATTTAAGAATTTCTAATGGAATTCCTTTGACCTTTAGCTTTTAATCGTGATTTCTAATGTTTTCCCACTGCATTATGATTCTATTTATACTTACTTTTACCTTATTTCTATTTATAATGATTAGTTCATTATAATTACTTACTTGATAAATTATTGAAGCCGAAAAGTTACACGATTATCAAATGAATCTATTTAATTTATTTTTTCGAATTCAAAGCAAATGATGAAAATAAAAGTTATGAAAAGTTATAGAAGAGTTAGATAATTACATTTACACATTACTATTATTACTAACGGGCATAGTAAAGAAGTAGGCCAGCTTCCGCTTTACAGATGCCCGTAGAAGAGAACTAGACGATTGAATCATCTTTCCTTTCCCAATTTTCTCATTTATTCTGCTCCTTCTTCACTTGAGCTTTACTTGAGTTTTTAAATATGCTGCACAATAAAGAATGGCTGAAAAATCGTGACCAACTTTTCAAAAAATTTCATCATAGTTTATCAGGGTGGCACTGAGGATTAACCACAATAGAGCCCCTCCTGATATTCTTGATATTTTTTTTGAAATTTAGCCTCTTCCATTTTATACTTCCTAAGTCTTCATTTCTTACTTTCCTACCATAACATTCAAAAAAAAAAACAATTTCCATAAATAAAAATATCAAAAAAAGCCGGAAAAGAAAGCAAAATCGAGGAGGTGTTGGAATTCTGTTTACGAAGGAAGCCTATCTTACTATTCTTGTTTTTATTCGTGTTTTTAGTGTTCCGCGTGATTTTCTACGAACACTTCCTTCCGTGCATTTTAACATTTCCCTTATCTTATCAGTTAGTCATCAATCTCAAGGAATGCTATGACACCGCAGATCTTTCCTGCTCTGGAAAAGAACTAAGCTTTTCATAATCGCCAAGTTGATCATCAGACAAACACAACCCACCGATACCGTATCATAGTTATCTCTGCGGGACCATAGGCTCTGAAAATATTTCGGTCCGCTTTTTTTCAGCCTTATGTCTGATTTTCAAGCATCTAATCTGAATCTGGAGGTTAACAGTACACCCAGCAGCTCATAAAACTATAAAGGCACTCCTAGTAACCGTACTCCTTTCTTTGCAGGACCATCACATCAAAGTTGAGACAAGTGACTCGTTCAAAATCGAACGACCACAGCCGAAATACGCTGACGGGCGACGAACCAGCGCACCGGCGATTCTATGGAGCCCTGCAAATCTCGTCGATGACAAGGTAGTGCATATATTCGCTCTGCTACCGTTCCATAAACCCCTGGGTCGGTCTGAAGACCAGGTGTTCCACAGACAGTTCCACGCCCACACAGCTTTTCTTTTGTGAACTTCAATTTGCTGAGGCGATGCAACAATTTCCTCAAACAAAACAGGATAGTGCTTGTTTCTGTCAAAAAAGTCAGCGAGAACTTATATTTGAGAAGTTAGCCCGGTATGATAAGTTTTTGACGCCCGTCCAAGGTTCGAGGACTTCGACCCTGCTCGGTCGTAATCACTGATAAGCGTCACACACTTCCTGGCTCTACAGTCGGCTTCTTCTTGGATACTCTCTTCATATATTCTTTTATTATTATCAACTCTAAAGATGCGGTTCCAGCCAACCACGTCGACAGTCGACTCGATCAGCTTATTGCAACGTCTTCTAGAAAGACAACGAGTTGCTGGCTGCACCAAGAGAGGCAAGGTCAGCCAGCCCAGACTCCGGTGAAAATTTCGCAATTTCAATTTTTATATCGGAATTTATATCCATGTTGTCACGCTATAAATACACGTGGTGACTTCATGACTTTGTCGGAATGAACCAACGCAACCTCCCCCCCCCGCCTGCCCCCTTGGTTCATCCAAGATGGGGCCAAATAACGCCAAAGCAGCTCAGACAAGAGCGACAGGCTTCCACTTATCTGGCTAGGATAGAATAATATATAGAAGGATGTCTGTCCAGAGTCGATTCTTGAGTGGGACGATTCCAGCATGTTCACATTCTCTATGAGCCCTTCCAATTATGCTAATAATTCTGGATAACGCCGCAGGCATGGCGCCGGTATATCTCCTTATTATATCTGTACGCGCCGCTTTCAGCAGTACAGCAGATTGAATCGTGAAAACAAAAACGGAAGTAGCCATTTCTCTGAAGAAGGCCATTATTTAGAGAGGTAATATTTTTTCCTGATCCAAGGCTTGCAATCAATGCTTGAAAAGATAGCTAAGGGCCATTTTCGGAATAACTTAACTAATTGCACCTAAATAAAATTATGCATTTTAATAGTTAACGTTGTAACTAAAGCTATGTGATGCAATGGTAATTTTTGAACGCTTTAAACACACCCAAATGCTTCATAGAAGGCTGCGTGAAAAGGGGTACTGAAAGCTACTCTAGTGCTCTGGAACATCACCCTTAATAAAAAAAAGACAAACAATAATTTTAAGGCCGATTAAAGCGATTGCGTACGAATAAAAATAATAAACCATTTTTAGGTGTAATAAATAGAATAGCTTGATTATACACTAAATAAAAATAATTTCATCGAAAATTTCCCAGGCATTGGACTCGACCATCCGATGGATTCTACAGATCTCCCAATTGACTCTCTTCCACCATCTACCGGCGGATTCTCTGTTCCAGTAATACCAACGTCACCGGCCAGAAATGCTCTTAACCCCACCAATCACACTCTGCCACCATTCCTGTGGCCATGGATTAATGGTATGTCACTGAGTTGTGTTTTTTTTTCGGAACTCATGTTTTTTATAGCTTTTTTTTACAAATTTTACAATTTATAATACTTCTTACCTTCTTCAAATTCCTACTCCTGAAGTTTTTACAAGTTTTCTATTTCTTTTTCTGGACGTCTCCATTTCGCAGTTCCTTTAGCGTTATCCTGTGATTGCCCGCCATTTTCACCGCTCCCCAGAAAGACCCTTCTTTCTAAAAAAAATTCACTGGTCCAACGTTGTTCATTGGTGCGCCTAACGTAAGAATTATCAGTTTTCTTCTCTGATATTCAGAAAAAAAGGTCAGAATATCATAGGACATAGCATAAAAAACCTAGACCCACCCCTGCCCTCTAAAGCTCCTTCTCCAAACAGGAGCCTTTTGAATTTTTAACGGACTTTTTAGCCGCGGTAAACCAAATTGGAAATTCCCTCTACATGATGGCATTGCAATCCGGCCTATTACAAGATGTGAGGGCATCCTATAGGACTAAGCTAGGAGGGGGCAGGAAATCCGGAAAAAAATTGCTTACGTACCCTGGAGTCTCACGTTCGTCGCTTGAGGTTTAGTCGCAATTTCACAAAAAAAAGATGTTTTATGTGGTTGCGATTGCATTGTCACCCCGATGCCCCCGTATATTGCGATAGCGCCCAATCTTTTATTGATAGCTTACTCACCAGCCTGTTGGTCTCCTTCCAGCTTCATTCTTACCACACATCCCCATCAGTTCAATACAAAACCAAGGTACTAAGAAATAGAGCTTGAAACTGGAAAAAATAGGAAAAATAAAGGGTTGTATCAACGAAAATAGTAATCGACAGGCATACACGACCACTGAAATTCATCAATATTCTTGAATTTTGTCGGGTTTGGTGATGCTTCCGCGCACTTCAGTATTACAACCTTCCCAGTTCTGTTTTCTTTTACTTTTTTCCTTATTCGTCTAAGAAGTCTTTTATCGGCGATGTCATGACCTTCGAGGGATTTCTCGACGACTTTCACTCACACTTTTTTGGTCCACTCGAAAAAAACGTGAAGGGTGAAAAGCTCATTTTCCCGTCGGAATGACTTTTTATCAGGGAAATTTTGCATGAAGGAAGGAATTGTGTAGAACATAATACGATAATATAATATGATAAGATAATCAATAGACCACTCAGAATTAGTCAATCGTATTTTGCACAGGGCCATGCTAAACCGCTCCGTTGTATTCAACTCAGTTTGCTGAGATTTTAATAAATGAATCCTGAAAAAACGCCAGCCATGGCTTTGCATATTGAAAATAAATTTCAATGAAGTGACTTCTAGAAAATATTTCCCAACTGCAATCAAAAATGCTGAAATAGTCAGGATTTAATTTATGAACTTGAAGCCGAAAGCAGTTTTACCTGCAGACGAATAATTTTGCATACTTCCAAGAAAGCGATTTTGGCCCCTGGATATTCCTACGGGCGTCGTTTTCATGCAATGGTTTGAAAACTTTGTTTGTTTTCTGATAAATAGTTGATTATGGGAATCAGGTTATTTATTTTACGGACGATTGAAGGAAATTACAAAATGTCCTCAGATACTATAACAATCACTATGTCATTCTCCTCGGATCCCATCTGCAGATAATTTGTATTTCCTCGGGAGACGAGACGATGGACTGGAGAGTCAAGCACCTAGTGATGCTAACGATGCAATAACCATATTTTGCTCTGATCCAGTCGTCATTCGTTTCTCAAATATTTCCAAAAATAGCCACTCTGACCATCATACGCTTTCGTCCACACAGCAACAGCACCGCAGCCTCTGCGGGCATTCTGTTTACTTTCAGAGGTGTTCGGTGGGTTTTCCTGAGTTCGCCAAGTCGCCTGCGGTCTCACACAGGAACTTATTTTCACCCCTCTCAGCAACAGCTAGCACATTTTAGCCAACTTAAGTGTGCCATGCGAAGTGGAAAAGCTTCAAGTGAAGAGGGGGCGACAAAGTCAAAAAAACTCCTCTCCTGATACAAACATTATCTCCGAGTTTTCCTTGGATCACCGAAAAAGCGATAAAATTTGTTTTAGAAGGAGTCTTCAGGTCCCAAGTCCCCTTCAGAAAACAAGAAAGAGGGCTGCGCAAGTTCTCACTGGAAGTGTCCAGTTTTATTTCGCGTTTTGAGCAAATCTACCTGTGAAACGTAGAGCGGGAGGCTTGAAAAGAGCAAAACAGGCTTTTCTGCATCGGCCGCCCGCAATCGCTGTTCCTTCCGTGCACGATCTCTAGCGAATCGCATGTTGTGCACTGAATGCAGCATTTTCAGAACTCTTCCGCTGCGCTCAGTATGGACAACTTTTCCAGCTGTGGAACTATTCAACGGATATGAAGCAGGAGTGCGTCAGTGCCTCAATCAGTTAATACTGCTTAAAATGAGGATCGAAACATATCGGACCTTAAGGGGAACCTCGCAGTTGAAGACGTAGGTTTCGGTATCGCGAGCCGATAAGATTTGAAACGCTTATATCTACTTTATTCAGCGCCGTACGGTGCAATCCTCCAGACTGGACATGACTACGATCTGTAATACTCGCATTTATGTTTGGAAATCGCCTACAAAACCATAGCGCAGTGGCGATTGGAAGAACTTCTTGACATAAGAGTAGGCACTATATGGACGTTGCCTAACAGCAAGGTGTTTCAAGCAGCGCCAAAATCTCTATTTATTTTTTGCAAGAATACTGGTTCATGAAGCAAAACTTTCAACGTGGCGAGTATTTCGCACCCGCACCCCTCTCGTTGCTTACGACGGTACATGTCTCTATAAGGTTTACACGCATCCGGGGCCCATGTTCGCCTCAATTTTTTTCATTTCTAACTTTATTGAAGCCCCTCCAACAAAATCGTGACAAGGAAATGTGCTATGTAGAAAAGCCAAGAAAACATTCACAAAAAAATGGGCTGAAACGGCTTGGCATGATCGTCCAGTTCATATTTTCTAGAGAGTCTCTCTCTACGAACCTATCTACGTCACACCAAAACAATGGCGATCCTTGCTAGATGTCCTCAGTTAAGCTCGTTAAATTATTCCAATAAAGCCCGGTAATTGATCACAACTGATAGACCGGGTTGGACAAAATCGAAGGCGAGGTTTAGGTTGGACATGAAAAAGAATTTTTCGATTTTTTTGCAGGCACTTCTAAGCAAAATCGCCACTTTCAACACCGTGTTGGGTAGAATCTCATTGCATGCTTTGTCATTCAATTACCCAAATTTCTACACTCGGTAAATTTGTGGTTTTCAGGAATTATGGAACCCGAATCCCGCTAAAGAGCTTTCTGCCATAACTTTTTGCTACAATTTAAGCTTTCGGGCTTTGGGTACACTCTCACTCTTTTACTGATAACTTTTAACTATTATATCTTCCGACTTCCGTTCTAACAATTCTCACCTCCTTTCTTGCTTTTGCGCTTCACAAATGTATTCTTTCACTAGCGTCATGTCGCTGGCGGAAGGTGAGGGGAGAGGGAAGGAGAGCATGGGGAGCGGGGCATTCTCAGTGAGCCACTTACAGCAATTGGGACATTTTTCTGGAGAAGGGAGGGATTCTGTGGGAGGAGGTGAGCAGTTGATGTTTTCCCTGACGCTTCTCCCATCTCCTGGGCTTAGTCCTAGTGTCGCTTACCATCGCCCCTGTTTTGAATGTTCCGCCACCCCAAAGGACCGCACCTCTTTCACTCTTAAGCTGAACAATAAAGGTTTCCCTGGACAATAGACTAGTCTGGAGAAAGCAGACACACATGGAAGTTTCTTGGACGCTAGCACGGTTAGCTCCTAAAACGACGTCAAGCGTGCAACGACGCTCTCGTCATTAGTATCCGGAATCGGTTTGACCCACGCGCGCGTGGTGGTGCATACGTTGAGGTGGCCGAGCGAACCGGTTCTGAAGAGGAGTGACCGCGCGAGGGTTTGAGGGATGAGGCTCGGACTGGCGCACGGCTTCCTGGAGCGACGCCCGGTTTCACCTGGCTATTGAAACGATCAACGGATGCGCGCATGCACGATTAGCAATACGAGCCGAGATCTCCAAAGCGCGCGACGTCCTCCTCTTCACCCTCCTTGCTTCGCTCGCACGTCAACGGAGCTTACCGGATGAGAATATTCAACGGCGACACTACAGTGGAGATTGTTCACCACTATAGTCGTACTTAGCACTTTTTTGTAACCCAAGGGTTATGATTTGTGTCGCAATGAACATGCGCGAGTGGATGGGTGAACTAAGGAGAAAGTTGATAGACGGAAGAGAGGTGGGGGGGGGGTCAGTTTGGACAAAGCACGGCATCTTGGATAGATATCAGACGGAAACAAAAATGACAGAGTAAACAAAATCCCCGAGGTTCGATGAGAAAAAAAGAACACCGGACCTTTATTTACTCTAAAGGCTACACGGCTTTCAAGAGGCAGGTCAAGAGGATTTCAATTAAAATCCCATCGATGCGAGGGACTAGCAAAAGGGAGGCGACTAGAGAAGTAAATCTAGGAGCCTTTCATTCAGGTATAATTCCTGGAGCTATAAAGGATTAGGCATAAAGCATCCGGCGCAGATCAACCCTCCAAAAGCGCCATGCACTCTAGTTCCATTCAGAATTGGTGACAATTTGGACACGATTTGGCCTAACCTTTGGCTTATGGGACTGCTTAGTAATTCCATCAGCGATCAGACTTGATCTGCTAGTCAAGCTTTGGTTCTGACTTTCCATTTAAGGCTAACAACAATCTGGACATTTGCTGACCATGTCCCATCTATAAAAAACCCATCGAGGTTCATGGGGAAGATCGGGACTTTTGGCGCTCGTGCAATATACCTCGGGACTTCCTTAGCTGACAGCAAACAGAAAGGGGGGGGGACTGGGAAACTGTGAAAATACCAAATCATGAAACAAGTTTGTGAAAGGCTTTTCCAGGTTAAATTGTATTACCCATTTCTCAATAAGCTTCCCGTTAAGCGCGCTCGAAATATGTGGCCCTAACGCTTTGCTGGATTTTCTTCACTGGCTGTCTCACAGTGAACTTAGAGCATTTGAGGAATGTTTCTTAACAATCTACAGAATCCTTTGACTCCTGACCCGGGGACCTTATGCTGTATCGCCCCCACCAATAATACAGAGGTTGTTCACAAACAACAAAACCAGTCATCGATTCCCGCTTTCACCAATACAAAAGTATCTTTGAAGGCCTAATATTAAGGAAATCAACTCGACGAGAACTGCCTCAGAATCAACGGCTTGACGCTCCGATATGCCTACAAAAGAAGTTCATTTAAGCAACCTAACCTCTTCCGGGCCTCTGCCGAACAATCGCTCCCCTCACGCCTACCCCTCTCCCCCTTACCCGTCCCCCCCCGCATCACCTACCCTCACCCCATGCTTCTCTAAGCCTGCATTATTCTGGTACCAGGGAACGCATTTTCCAATCCCATCCCAAGATTTTTTCAAACTGGACGAATGCTCACCACATTTCTTCAAAACGAAACATCACAAATAATGCCACAATCAGAAACAAAGGACCTCCATCCATATATCTCTTAACTCTATGACTCTACCGTCACATTTAATTATTGATCTGGACTTCAGTAACAATATTTTTTCGGACAAAAAATTGGCACCTGCAAAGAAGTTATACGAGCCGTTCAGGAACGCCACTAGAACGACTAACAGCTTCCACAGATTTTGCAAATGAACGACCAAGAGACAGGGCATAGTCCAACGCTACTTAATTCTTTACTGTCAGCCTTTATCTTACTTTTGATCTTATATTTTCTTAAGCTAAAAATTGAGTCAATCGTTGTGTGGGCCTTGAACTTTCGTGACTCAAAGTAAATAATCGTTAAGTATTATTTCAATTTCCGAACCATATACGTCAACGCGGCGGTCTTACTTGACTACAGTTATCCGATTTACAGTCGCGACTTTCAATATCACCTCGTAACCGCGCATTTCCTTCCTTCCTGATGGGCAAAATGGAACGCACGCAACATTACGCAACGCAACGATTATCACCCCGTCCCGATGTTGCAGTAAATAACTTTGCACGCGGGGGAATTTCGCGATATCCAACACATGTCGCGCGAATCCATCTTCCGTATTGCGCACTGATGAACTTAAAATATTGCATGCGGACATCGCAGACAAATAATAGGGATCCTATTTTGGTTGGCCATAGAATAGAAAATCAGCTGTTTACTGCCGCATAATGCTCAATGCTCTTCTTCTGGTGTGAGCCACGCATTCGACTTCTAGTCAGAATCGTATTGATTCTATGTATGCATATTTGCCTACAACTTCTATTGCGGGAATCGCCATAGGCTGCTATTCATACCGTTATGGATTATGACTGACAATAATCTAAAAGACTAAAGGATAAAGGATAAAGGATAAAGCATTTGCCGTTGATCAATCCCTTTTTGGGATGCGGCACGCATTCTACTTCCATTTGTACATTCGCAGTGGCGTTTGAATGCGATGTGGCCTATACAATGACTTGCGGGGGCCAGCCGATGTTCAAGTCAGTGTTTTTTCCTCCCAGACAAGTCTGGTACCAATTCGGGAGCCGGATGGAAGGCTTCGTTGTGGCCAGGCGACCAGGATTTGAGCCCCGGACCGCTCGCGTGGTAAGCGTGCCACTTGCCACTACACCACTTCCACCCTAAAGATCTAGAAGACGCTGAAAAAATAATCTAAGCAAAAATTGCGGCACCCATACCGTGTTTGGGCGTGACTGCTGGAGTTCTTGCATTACTAGCATCTGGGCTTATTCACGAATTTACTACAACTAAGCCATGTGCGAGCTGAATACGAGTAGTGAGTGCGAGAGCGTAAACTAGTTAAAGTCTTTGCCCTTAGAAAGCGTATAAAAATTTGGGGTGGAGAGTTCAAATGAAATCGACCTAAATTCATATATAGCTTGTCAACACGGCTACTGGAGGACTAATCTTTAGAAACGGCATATCATTCACAGCAATCCAGAAATGGCAGAATCTGGACGAGGTCTTGTTCTCAAAGTAGACCTGGATGGTCCTGCATTATTCCTCGATGTTAAAGCTGCGCCAGTATTAAACGACCGTCCCGAAGAAAGGCCAGTGTATGGACCATATCGTCCTAAGTTAGCGGTACGTTAAATATGAAACCTCCGAAGGAGCCGTTATGGAATTCTAGTCGCATTTAGAGGCGATCCGTCGAGTGTACGCCGTCAAAAGCATCCTTTGGCCTTCTTACAATAACGCAGCATGACATATCCTTTCCATGATAATGAGCATTCAAGTTTGATGTTTCTCTGATTTTTGCTTTGAACTTTATGCTATCATCGGCGTCGTGAGTACGGTCGTAGGCTCAACATCTTTCACCTTAAAGGCAGCGATTACGATAAAGAGAAAGCGCATCGAGGAAGCATATGCACCCTACGAATCAGTTACTTGGCTGTCAGGGAAGCGAGGTGTAGCGCTTCCACGACGAAAGGTGTGCTGGTTGCTGAGCAGGACTTGGAAGAACACTCCAGCCCACAGAAAGCGATCCGCCCACTAGTTCTCGT